TTTTTTTTTTGTTTGTTTGAAATCTCTAAAACAGTCGTCATTGCAGCATCAAAAAATGATACATCCACGCTGAGGATTTGTGATTGGATCGACGAGTTTTATACATTATTATTGGCCAAGTTCACTTTCTACTTTCACGATGTCCTGAAGCCGCGATGTTTGGCTGATTTCGATCACACTATTGTGGCTATGAAATCACCAAACTTTGTCCAGCTTTTTGGCTCTTTTCAGCGCAAAACCGAGCCACTGGCTATTTTGATTATTGCAAATCGCTGCGATGCTTCCGATATTTCTCCAAGTTTGTTTCTTTTTCTCTGAAAATAATCAAGTTTTCTTGCTTATCGACGTAAATTTCATAAAACATAAAAAAAGAATTATGCTGGTTAGACCTGAGCACGACTAAAGGCATCGTCAGATTTTTCAGTCGGGTGAAACACTAAGTAATTATCCCTTCAAGAGATGAAAATAACGTCAAGTTTGGCAGCAGTCTGTACTGCTGGCAAGTCTGTACTGGTCAAAGCAACTGGAGAAACTTGCATAGCTGGAGAACCAGATTATAAGTTATAGTTTCTCTGAGTATCCCATCTGACGGACGCCTCGAGCCTGATTCAACAATAGCCATTACATGTCAACTTGCCAACATTTATTTCTACGCTTTTAGTTTTCACTTATACGCGCATGGTGGGTCATTTACATCATTTTCGGTGTATTATGCATAAAAAGAATAATCATTTGCAGTAATTGGCTACAGCTCTCGGAGCGAATTCAGTGAAGAAAGTGAATTACGAAAAAACTTCGTGGTCCTACTTAGAATGGGTATCGAAATGCACGATCTGCAACCGTTGCTTCCGTCCATATCCGCTCTTATCCAAGAATCAGCTGCAAGAGCGAATTCTGCACCGGAGCGTATCACGTACTGCTACGACCAAATGATATTCCGAGTATTATTTTTGTATTTTAAATTTTCCCAAAATTATGTCTAAAAATCCATGAGCATTTCATATGCCTTGGTTTTACCAAAGTTGCAATTACCTCTGATATTTTGGACAGCTCCCATTCATGTTCTGCATGCTAGGTCACCTTCAAAGGAAGGTATCCTCCCTTTTGCTCGCTTTCTTGCATAAATTTTTAGGACTCATTACATGCCATGCTTTTGATTAACAGAAAGAACACAAGATGTGGGTCCGGAAAGAACACAAGAATGTAACATATTCATACTAACATTTGTTCTCACAGTATCAATTCTTTTTTATGCAATTCTTATGCTCAGTTTTCAGAGTTTCTTCGTTCTACCGGTGGAATACAATTTCTATGTGGCGATTGTTTTTGCCCGTAAAGTTGGCGAACGCGATAGCGCTGTGGTCAACTTTCTGCTTAGTAACTGTAGCCAGCTACGAGGCAGTAAAGTTTTCCAAAGCCTACGAAAATGCTCAAATTGAAATCCACTTCGAATGTTTCTGTTTTATTGAAATTCTCAGTAAGTTTTAATGCTCCATATTTTATTGAAGTTTTGTTTCCCGTCATTTTAAAGGCGATAAAATTTCAACTTTACTTGTGATGAACAACACCAAATCAGAAGCCTCGCTGTGTGCAGTTTTTGGATGAAACAAAAATTTAAACTAACGTGTCCTGAAACTCTTTCCTGATGGTCTTTTTTGGCAAAATTTAGCTTTTGTGTTCATGCTTTCTTGATCTGCGGTTGCCATCAGAGTCACTGTTCGAATGAATGTAAAATTTGAAAATGATTCAATTTGACAATTTGTATGTCATAATGGAGCAACATAACACCAGGACACTTTTCGCAGGACAGTGCAGGGAATGGAAAAATTGAAACTAAAACGCAGCATAAATTAAATAAATGGCCAACGCACGGGCTGCCCGTGCGAAGATGCGTTTTTTGCAGAGTTCCCCG